GAGTAAAAGAAGCCATTTTTGTGAAGAAAGACCGTCCATCATTAAACAGAGGTGGAGGCCTCCGTTTTCAGTTGTCCCCCTCCTACAGCGCCGCCATTACCAGTATCACTCCACCCCCTGTTAACAATAGGTGTTAATTAGGTGTCAACAATAGCCACGTGATGTGAGTATCAGTCACATGGAGGCAGTGCTTAAAAGCCTGAATTTTGCCTGAAACTCTCAGACCTATACAATTTTTTTCTTTTTGTTTTTTTACCTGGATTACTGAGATGCATCAGGACACTGTAAGGTTAATCGTCGCGGTTTAATTAAAATTTGACTTGTTTTCCCTGACTTCCTCAGAGACGCGCAGAAAGCCCGACAGAGGGAACCAGGCGGCCCCGGATCAAATCCAGATGTTCAGCAGGGACAAATCTGCGGCGGCCTCTGAGGATAAAACACCCCCGCTGGTAGCTGATCACAACAAACTAAAGGTAAGTCACTCAAATGATGTTTTTTATGTAACTGAAGTTCTTCCTAACAGCTGTAACCTTCTGTGCATGAAATAGTTTTGTTATAATGAGCTCTGTTCGAGTAGAAGAGATCCAGGTGTTTATTTTTTTGTCTTAAACCTACATGTCAAAGTCATCTGAAGTAAGCAGACAATTAAATAAAGTATCTTGAAGAGTTTTGTCCCGTCACTCGTAAGTAATGACCTGCTGCGTAGGCGTGTCTGTTAGGAGCTTGGTCACATCTCAAAGCATGTTGAAATGTTTTCTTTTCTTTTTTTTTTAGTTTAGTTTAGTTTAGTTTTTATTTCTTGTAATGAAAGACGTTCTTGTTTTTAACCCAACCCATTATGGTTAGGAGCAGCTGGTGCTTCATCACCTTCTGATGATCTCATTACTTAATTATGATTTTCTTCTTAAATTAATGCCATGTGTCAAAAATATTCAGTATCTCGTTAGTATGGACATTTTTTCAATTATAATGTAACTAAGTACAAATACTTTGTACTGTACTTAAGTAGAATTTTTGGGTATCTAATTTACTGGTCAGAGGGTCCGGTGGCGCCAATGTATGGCAGCCCCACCTCTGTCAGTGCGCCCCAGGGCAGCTGTGGCTACARTGTAGTTTGCCATCATCAGTGTGTGAATGTGAGTGTGAATGGGTGAATGTCTGTTAGTGTAAAGCGCTTTGGGGTCCGGAGGGACTTGAAAGGCGCTCTATAAGTTCAGTACCATTTACCATTTACTTGAGTAATTACTTTTCTGCATACTTTTTACTTTTGCTTATTACATTTTTACACAAGTATCTGCATTTGTACTCACATTTTTAAAAAAGGCAAGAAGTAGAAAGTCGTTACTCCTATTTTATTCTGAGTTATTGCTTTTAAAAATACTATCCTGATAAATTGTGTCTCCTGGACAGAGTGAATTTAATTGTGGTTGGATGAGAAGTATAAATATTTACCATTCTGACAACGTACAGCGGGTAAAATAAGTATTGAACACGTCACCATTTTTCTCAGTAAATATATTACTAGAGGTGCTAATG